TAAAGTTATTTTCTGACTCATACTGGACAAACAAGAGAAGAGTGTTGGGCGTTTTAGCTCTTGCTGCACAAACTGTAGCATTTAAAGATATTATCCAATTCTCCCATTTTGGTTGTTAATAAATGTTTTGACTATATCTAATGCAGGATTTGATACATTTACATAGTTTTTAAGAGATGCACCTACAAATAAACTGCTAATTCGTGATGATGTCTATTCTGGTCAATGCGATCAAAAGAGGCACAAATATGGCAGCTGAGGGACTTTTGACAGATCTCAATATAGATTTTGATTCTTTTAGTGAGCTGACTTTGGCTAAGTTTTACACTGTAGCCTGAAGTGAATCCGATTTTTTTGCCCATATGCGACCTGTATCTGATCTTTTCATGGCAGTCTAAACAACAGAGATCCAATATTTCCAGTGCGACCCACGCCACTTGGCTACGTGGTCCTGGATCAGATACAAATCTGATCTTTTCAAATGCGACCTGTGTTGAACAGCCAGGTCACATTCATCCGACCTCAACAAAGGTCACTATTCTGCGTATTGCTACGCAGAAGCGGGAAGAAAAACAACCAAGGCTGACGATAATGTGGAGAGTAGTCTTTTTTTTAAACATCTTGAAAGGATTTTGTTTTTATGGTTGGGAAAGATCACTAGATGCTCCCACACTATCATCCATGTTTACTTCCGTAAACACAGAGCATGCTTGCTTATGACATCATTGCATCCATTACTGCGCATGCGGGACACTGGCATCGTATGAATGCAGTTCACACAGGAGAGCACATACAAGTGGCATATATTTGGAAATGTGAACGGCAATGCAAAAAAATCGGATTTTACAAAAAATAGCAATTGAGCATTAAGGCCTGCAGTGTGAACGTAGCATTTGTTAACTTTCATAGCCATTATGGTGAAACCAAAAAACAACAAAAACAAAACAAAACCAAAAGAGAAGTTGACATGGATTGCCTTCATTATTTGACTTGTATGAATTTGTCTTTGTGTATCACCAGCAAAGTGGCTCTGAACTCAGTCTTAACATAGGCTAGCCTGCTGGTTTTTCAAAACATTGCATAAGCATACAAGCCCTGCTTATTTTTTTTATTTGATTTTATTATTTTTTTAATACTGCCTTTAACATCGTTAAATACTGATCAATCATTTGTTCCTTCTCATTGCTCTATGTGATTCTAACACCAATGCCATCCTGACTATCCAAAAGGTTAAACACCACTCTTGGATCCGTCAAAGCCTGATGAATGGGTTGCAAACAGGGGGAACTTTAGATCAGATGCGTGACCTTTCAGTGTCTTGGAACATTTGACCTGAATGGATAAATGTTTAAATCCAACTGTGCAAATATCTAATCTTTGTTTGTATTATTTATGTTTGGTTTCTTTAGCAAAATAACATAAATGACACAAAAATAAGAAGCAGCACATTGCAGAGAAAAAGGCAGGAAGAGGCAATAAAGCAAAGTAAAGTAGACTGTCAAATAATGAATGTAATATTAATAATAAATACTCTCACAATGCAAATATCAATACAACATTGAACTACTGTATAGTAAAAACATATTTAAAGCAATATCAAACCTATTAGGATTACCTAATCTAAACAAAACATCTCCAATACAATATATTTCACTCTATATGTGTTTTTGTCCATCCAGCTAATCTTAACACTAATTTAGATAAAATAATACAACTAAGTAATACAAGTTAAAAATTAAATCAAGAAAGGAAACTCATTCTGTGCTTGTGAGAAATCCAGGATGGTGAAAATCCAGATTTTGACTGGAATAGATTTTTAAATTAATTGTGAAGTAGAAACTAGAAAGTTCTTTAATATTATTTTTATTTAAATATTTATCCAAAATGAAAATGCTCATCTGGAATCAGTAGTACATAGCCAATGTGGTGAATAACCAGGGAAATACAACAATCAGGAGCAAAAATAACATACAAAAAGCAAAAAAAAAAATTGTTTTTTATTTGTCAAAAATTCACTGTATAATCTATGCACTTAAATTTAGCTTTACTCTTTTTGTGACTAAAAACACAGGAATAGCTATTTCTACAATAGTCATATTTTCCCAAAATTTAAACTTAAAAATCAGAAACTGATTTGGGATTTAATGTGTGAGTATGATAAATTGGTAGGACAGCAAGTTTCTGTTAAAAATATATATCTGACTGGTTTCTTCCATATCCACATTATTAACTTTTGGCTGTAATCAGACAAATCATTCAAATAATCTTTTCATTATCAGGTAATCGACCAAATGTCAGCAGCCCTGAATAGTCAATTAAGGGTTGTCTTCTTCATCATATCACTGATTACGAGGGTAAGACATAAAATAGGATTGACGTACAGGGTCATTGCATGTATCTATGAATAAAACATGAACCATTAGCCTTATTAAAACCAAGGACTAACAACGGACAGTGAGCGTCAGCTTAACTTTCCTGAGGGATAGGAGCCAATTACATGACATTGTGCATGTGAAGGTATCAGAAAGTAAAGGTAGGACACAGTTCTGTGTGTACTTGTAGTCGGTTCAGACAGTCTGCTCTGCATACAATATAAGAAACCAATTTCCAAAAAAAAAGACACTACAAAAGGAAAATGTGTGAAGAAATCTTTTTACACTGCAAAAAATTGAAATCTAAATAAGTAATTTTTTCTTGGCTTTGAATTTTCTTTAATTTAGGAGGTAAGTGAAACACTTTACTAATGTAACAAGACAATTTACATTGAAAATAAGAAAAAAAAAATTGCATTGACTTATTTCAAGTGTTTATTATATAGATATATTATTTTAAGAGTAAAGATACTAATTCCATTGGCAAATCATCCTATTTACCTACTCAAATTGAGGGTTACTGTAATACACTTAATTTAAGAAATTGTTACATATTCATTTTTGCAGTGTAGGGGTAGTTTAGGATTTTGGAGGAAAGCTCTTGAGAAAGTGATATATTTTATATCCATAGTAGTTCATGTATGCTGAGGCCAACAGCTATAAGGGTTAAGAAATATAGGACTTCTACTTTTGTAAAATGGCTGTTGTATCAAAAAACACAATAATTTATGTGTTTTATGAACCTTAAACCTTTTAATGTCAATAAAACCTTTAACCTTTTTGTAATATTAGTATTATTTATACAGAAGCCTAAACTTATTTACACCTGAAACAAAGGCACTTTAGGAGGCAGTGAACCACAAGTGATCCTTCTGTGTGCAACATGTACGAAACACGGAACGGCCAAAGCCTCTCTGCCCCGAGTCCTTACTTAAGAGAAAGATGGAGTAAAAAAAAAAAAAAAAAGATTTTTAAATTGAATTTAGTCTGATTGGGAACACTATGCATGCGCTGCTCTCAGTACATGTTTCGCACAGGAGGATTATTAGTGGAATTTGCCACCAGGGTTCAATTTTTGAGACTGGAGTTGCTTGAAGATGGTAGAAAACTAGTTTGGTGTGGCAGCTCCCTGGCTAGCAATTAGCTTCAGTGCTTTGGACAAAACAATCTAGATTTATAATACCAGACAATTAAAAGATCAAGAAGGCAAAAAAAATTATGAGCTACAGTTTAAAGCTTGTTCTTCTTATAAGTTTAAATCATTGATTAAATAGAAATTAAAACATGGATCTTTTTGGATAGGTTGACCCACACTCAGATGAAATGTTCACTTGCAGCTTGTTGAATGACAGTAATCTTTGAGCCACCACAAAGCAGATGAACACACTGCCAGTCAACTCCAGTTCTGCAGGGCACCTTCCATATCCAAGCATGCCTGTCTGTACAGATCTCCCCCTTATGGCTGTCCCTCTCTCCCTCCTGTTTCTTCTCTGACAGCCTGATTGTGTATTTGCTGCTATTCCTGTCCTCCTCTGTGTTGCACAGCTCGTACACATCAGAGTTCAGTATTTTCTGCCCCCTGATGTTGATTAAGTCTCCAGTACAACTCATGATGACACAGGCTGTTGGACTAAACATGGCTGTATAAACCCAAAGGAATCTCCCTAATATAGCTGCTGACATCTTCATGAATTCGAACACTATCCTCTGCCCTTACTGGGGACTGAAATGAGGCAGCATTCGAGAAGAATTTGGTCTTTTTTTTTGGTTGTGGGTTGTGGGCGTTGGGTCCATGAAGGAATGCCTATTTTCCCCTTTTCTGTGACTTTCCTAAGTTAATCAATAGAGAGCTGCAGGCATGAAGCGCGGTTTAAAAACCTGCACGCAGTAGTGGAAATGGAGGATTTGGGTGATAATAGATTATAAATATCACTCTTTCTGACTGCAAATAATAAACATGGTTCCTCTAAACAAAGAGTCTGTATGATTTTCTTGTCTTTAATAACAGCATGCACATACAGGTTGCATAAATTAACCTTTAATCATAGGCGCTTCATTTTGACTATATTCATTTGACATACAAGATCCAGAAGATCATTACAGCGCTACACATGTTTTTACCATATGTTCATTTGTGTCTGGCACATAATCGAATCACTTTCTTTACTTTTTTCTCAGACTTCAAGCATAAGAAGTACTATTAATAGCTTTAAACTGTCTCTATATTGAAGGCTTCAACAGAGATGTTTATCAATTGTTCAAAAATACAATTATAGTGTGAATTTCTAAACAATAATATCAGTTAAGCACCAGGTCAGTTTGCATTCCTATAGAAAAGGTTCCTTACAATTGCTTTATTACCCTAATACTTATTAAATAAGTATTCTTTGCAAGCTATGCAAGCTGCAAAATAATTACCAGCAAATGTCAAAGCCTTCAGTTTTACATCAGCAGCTTTAATCTACTCGTGCAAATCCCTTCAGCATCTCCTCCTTGTGCAAGAATATTCAGTATCTGTCTTTTGAGTTATTAAACTTGCTCTTATCATTCTACCTCATAAACCTTTGCCCTGTTTCCAACAAAGAAAAAAAAAAGTTAGGGAAGAAAATACATCAGGTGACGACTTACAGATTTCAGAGGATGCGGCTCCAGGGAGAGAATCACAGATGCGTAAGGAGAAGTCCTTCCACCGACGGCTCTCAGATTCTGCGCTACTATTTTAAGCAGTGATGAAAAAAAATAGTTTTATTTGATTTTATCCAGGGGAGAAAAAAAAACAATTAAAAATCACATAAGCCCCACTACTGTTGCAGTTTTGCGCACCAGATTTAGCTGTATATTTCTTATTGTAAGATGAGTAATATTAGGATGAGCTGTGGTGCGTGGTGGAGAGCAGCAAAGAGAGGTGCGCCTCCGCTGTCATGAGCGGTGACACTTCACTACCCGGTATAATCCAAGCGCAGGAGCTGCCTCCTGTTTACGCGGACGGTCCTGTGGAGCTGGAGCTCCTCCTTGTCTCACCTCCTCCTGCTCTGTCTGCGTGTTGGAGACACGCAGGGAAGAGACGCGCAGCAGCTGCGCGCATGGATTGGACCCTCCTCTGGACACCGGTAGCCTATTAAAACAAACACTGGAGAAACAAAAAAAAGTGAAGCCTGCAGTCTGTGGATGTCGGGTATGAATACAGGTGCATCGGTAAATTTGTTTGTCGTCTGAAAGTTAATTGATCCCAGCAAGTTATTTCAAATGCTGAAATTTTTATTTCTTTAAACCGAGAGCTGTATTCCAAACGAGATTAGTTTTGATTTTACATATTTAGGGATGAGAATATTATATAAACTGTTGAAAACCGAGACTCAAAGAAGGATCTGTTTTGTTATTATCATGTTATGTCCTTTGCAGTCTGAGGAAAGGCTGCTGTCCAGCATACAATTTACACCCTTTACAAACTGGTGATTTAAAGAAGTTGAGTGTTCACAGTGCTGTATCTAGGATATTTTTTGAAAGTTTAGTGGAAGGAAAACAGTGGTTGCATAATAAATAAGGACATTCAGAGCAGAGGTGTCAGGTAATGGAGTATAAATACTTTATTACTATACTTAAGTACAATTTTTAGGTATCTATACTTTACTCCATTACATATTTTTCTTCCTACTTCTGACTTCTACTCATTACATTTTCACAAAAGTATCTGTACTTTCTATTCCTTACATTTAAATAAAAAACAAACGTTACCTCTTACTCTTGGCTTCGGTTTAGCGTTTATAAACATTAATTTCACGTCATGTGCACCATCCAATGCAGATCATTGGCGCCATCCAGATCTAGTGAAAACTAGTGTGATTGGATGAGTCATACAATGCAAACATTCATTGGTTAGCTACAGGAAATCATCAGAAGCAAGCAGGTGTTCTTCAAACTGCAAACATGCAAAATTGTCGATGCCATGCTATAATGTTGGAATCAGAAAAAGATGTTAAAATGTCTGAAAGGTCGGAAACAGGCGAAAGGGTATCTGGAGATGGAGACCAACAAGACCTCGATCATCCTTGGCCCTATCTCCAAGAATTTTTTGAAATAGTCAAAAAATTTAGCTTTCAATTCATACAGAGGCATCTGGCTGTTTTTTTAAAGGCTACTTTATACTTTCATACTTTCAGTAGTTTTTGCAGCACATACTTTTTCACTTTTACTTGAGTAAAGAGGTCAAGTTGATACTTCCACTTTACCAGCGTGTTTTTAAACTGCAGTATCTATACTTCCACTTAAGTAACAAATATGTGTACTTTTGACACCGCTGCATATGAGGCGGTACTGTACCAGAACATAGTCTGAAGCTGTCAGGTTCACAACGATCTACTCTTAGTTTGAGTAGGTAAATGAGATAGTTTGCCAATGCAATTAGTATTTTTACTCTTAAAATAATATAATTCGATAGTATGCACTTACAATAAGAAAACACAATTGCATTGTCTTATTTAAAGTGTAAATTGTCTTGATCCATTGGCAAAATGTTTCTTTTACCTCCTCAATCCAAGAACAAATGCACTTATCTTAAGAAATAATGACTTACCTAGATTTCGATTTTTTTCCAGTGTTCCCTGTGTTAAGACAGTACTAACCGAGAAATGTTAGAGAGATTTTTTTTAATAAAGATGCTGCCTAAGTTAAGGGACAACACCGCGGGAGAGATGTTAAATGGCACAAAGTCATCTTTTTTGCAAATTAAAGAGAAATTTTGGTTTGTTCGTGAGAAGGGAGAGCAGAGAACAATAACACCCATGCTGCCTGAGGTTCAGTATTTAGATCTAGGGTCAGTGATGTTTTAGGATCACTGTCATCCGCTGGTGTCTATGTGTGTTTTCACAAATATAGTGGAAACGTTTTCCTCCTGATTTCTGACCATCTATGTGTAGCCTAAATCGGTTGATTAAGGGATTATTTTTACAGTACTGCTTTAGTTAAACAAAATATTAACGTGGCAGATTTGGTTTGCCAGTAACATGTTTATTTAAGTTTTGATTATTAATATATTAGATGTAACAAAGATGTTTTTGAATGGTGCAGCCATAGTACTGGTTTTAATCCAATGGAGAATGAGACTTGGAGTTTCTTGCTAGGAATAAGTTGAAAAAACTACAAAATAGACCAGACCAATAGCTGTTTAGCGTTGACAAGAGAGAATAAGATAAAGAAAAAGATAATAAAGCTGAACCAGTTAAGGTACAGTAGCAGCCATTCAAAATGGCCCTTCCCAGTCAAACCCCAGCTGAACGGCAGCCTACTTCCCTCCAACTCCCAGCCAAAACCCCTCTAATTTCCAGCCACTGGATTGACCCTATTGCATATTTTTTTACTCTGACTCCACCCTTTCACTGAATCACAGGGTCTGACCAGGAGATGACCATTCTCTTTAGGTCTTAATATCCACAAATCATGACAGAAAGAATATTTTAGTACAAGTACTGATGTTTAGAAAGGAATTGTAGGGGACCAGTCAAGGGCCCATCTAGGAAAGTGGGGAAATTTTGTAGATATGTTACCTCAGAGTACAGAATACAGAAAGTACACGCTCCTGGAATGGTATCTTTTGCATGTTCACCTGACTCATTGGGACTTTGAATCACATGCTTTGCTGAAACTCTGACAATCTGTGTTACACCATTCTGGCACTAAACTTAATCCAAGCTAAATTACAGGGAAAAGCAAGTGCCTTATGCTAATAGGAGTGGAACACCAATCATGCATCATTATCTTTCGCTCATTTGAAATAGGCTCATTAAAGCTGCAGAACACCTACCCCCCACAAACACTGTTTTTAGCTTTTTTAAAGCAACTCCAAAGTGTTCACAGTTTAAAAAAAGATTGATAGTCCTTACAGCAAATCCTGGGTTTGCCCTGGAGATTTCTCCGCGGAAAACCTCCAAAAGGGAGGCGCCTACGAAGAATCCATCCAATCAGATGCTCAGCCAGGCGGTTTTTATTGAGGATGAGCAACAGGGCTCATTCACTTCACAAAAAAGTTGCTCTCTATCATCCCGCTCCAGAATACTCTTTTTCATGTGTTTCCCATGACAATGGGTGAGGATCAAAACTTAGAATATTAATTCCTGCTTTACCAAAATAGATCCAGCATCATCAGTATTCAGACAGTGCTCCTATCCATCTGTCCATCCTTTGCTCTCATCTGAAAATGCCAACTTGATCATAGCATTTGCATAGCAAAGATCACACCCTTGGGTTTCCAAAACATCACTACACTTTCAAATTGTGTGAATGAAATGCCAAACAGGATCTGTAACTTTGGGCAGTCTGGAATATCTGGATGCTGGGAGATTAAAAAATCCAAATAGTAGGAGAAAAAGCCAACCACAGTCTCATAGCAGAGGTAGTTACATTTCTGTCTGTCTTCTAGATAACCAGGCTTTTGCTATGGCACATCTCTAAGTTATTGTGACGTTAATAACTTGGTCAGTGGCCAAAGAAAAGTGTACAGTTTATATAAAAGAAACAATAACAAACTATGCAAAAAACAAACAAAGATTTAAATCATAACACTTGTATTGCAAAAAGGTTGTGTGCAGGCCTCCTGTCCCTCTGTGTGTATGCAGGCAGCCTTCTTTTAGTGCAATGATGATTTGTAAAGAAAAAAATAATAATACGGTAATACCAATAATGTTAACAATAATGACACATTTTCCCATTATTATTTTTTAGCTTTTGAAAGTTGTCATCGCAAAATATACCCTAGATGTCTGTTGACACCTAGGGAAGCTTCAAATAGAGCAGAACCACAGGTAAAGGGGATGGATGGATGGATGGATGGATGGATGGATGGATGGATGGATGGATGGATGGATGGATGGATGGATGGATGGATGGATGGATGGATGGATGGTATTAATGATTCCCTTTAAAAATGATGAAAGCACATCTTTCCCTTTGTTTCCTGTTTTAAACTTATTTTGTTTCAGAAGTCGTTAAATTTGTGCTGCTGTTCAGTTTCTCCACTCACCTCCTAATTGGTCAGCCAATAAACACAGGACATAATTCTTTTTCAAAGCTTCAGCTGCTTGTAAGTGTACGTCATCTCAATGATTTCCAGAAACAGGAATCTTTCTAACACCCATCTGTTAACAAACACCAACATAGTAGTTGGTCTCTCTATTAAATCCACTGTCATTTGCTGTTTGGTATTGACTTGGCATTTAGACAGCTGCTGATGTATAAAACAGAAAAACATCTCTGAAACCAACTCCACAGGGAGCTCCTTAGAATAGAGGAAGTCTTTTCATTTTGTTATCTCCTTGTTCTGTTTCTCCCTCTTTGTATGGCTGCTAATTACAACAGAAGCAGCTGTTTTCCTGCCGTTTCCGTCATCACACATTCAACATTCATCTCTCTGTGTGTCGCCCACGTATACGTACACCGGGACACGTTCGCACACATGGAGGCAAAGCAGCGCTGAACATGTTGCTGCATATTTATAACACATTAAAACAGTGAGAGGCACCATGAGCGTGTCATTTCTGAAGCCATGTAATCGGCAAACAAACAGTGCTGCGTTGAAAACAGTACAACAGACAGAGAATCCATCTGGGAGAAGAAGAGGAGTGGACAAACACAATCTACTTGGGAATGTTAGCAATCTTCCTTTTCCTTGGTCAGCTACATTTAACATGGCTATCTGACCCTACATTGTAATGGGAATGAGAATGCATACATTGGATGATTTCCGCAGCGCTCTGGAATCAGCCCATTAGTTCCTTAGCTGTTCTATAGAGATAGAAAAGAAACAAAAAGAAGAATTTTATTTTTTCTTTGTGAGTAGGGCGATTGCCTTTCATGTCATACTCCATCTCCCCTTTCACAGTTTGAAGTATGAAGCCACTGAAAGCATAAAACACCCTACTGGTAGAAAGTGTCTCTCCTAGCAGGAGGCCTTCTTTTTCTCTGTTATGCGTTTTAAGCTGATGATTGTACAGCAGTCAGAGGACAGTTCCTTGAAAAGTCTAATGCTTTTCCACAGAATCCCCTCAT